CACCCGCTGTGCCATGGAGTCAGGATCCTCAGGCCCCCTCCCACGGACAGGGGCTATGTGGGAGGGGGCAGGCGTGGCCCAGGAGCCCCAGAGCAGCCACTGGCCCTGTTGCTCCTCCCGCTCGACGCCCTGTGTGATGTGACCCCGGCCCCTCCCAGCTGCTCAGTTTTTGCTCTGGCTCCACCCACGGTGGGAATTCAGATGGAGAGCTTACCAGCTCTGCCTGTTTTCTGATCTGTGAAATGGGGTGAAATGGCATCTGTGAAATGGCATTTCACACAATGCCACGCGTGAAAATCTTCCAGGATTTGTGTTTTTCTTCTATCCTTGCCTATGCCTTAGGCCCTGAAGAACACACACCTGCCCTCACAGGGCTGAGCTTGGGCTTAAGGAACCCAAGTCCAAGGGTCTTGAGGAGTTTGAGGGTCTGAGGTAAAGAGTGGCTGGTATGACTCAGGTGCCGCAGCTCAGCTGCTACTCACATTACCTGTGATGCACTCTGGCTTCTGGAACTGTCCCTGGGAGGCAGGCAAGGGAGAGATCACTTTCTCCATTATACAGACGGGGAACTGAGGCTCAGAGCAAGGAGCCCTCACAGCTGGTGACAGAGCCAGAGCTACACCTGGTCTCCTGGCTGCTCCAGGGGTCTTTCCTCACCAGCTGCCACTCAGGCTGCACTGGCTCAACTGGAGGGTTCTTCTGCGCGCAGGCTGAGGGGCTCGCCTGTCTCCGGGTGCCCCATCCCCGCAGGGCACCCCTTTTCGCCCCCACCTGGATCTCAGCCCAAGGACGGCTGACGTCGTGGTGCCGCCCGCCTCCGCCCCACCGGGCCCCGCCCGCAGCCGCCGGCGGTGCCAATCGCCCTTCGTTGTTCCCAAGGCAGCGGCTGGAAGTTCGAGCCCCTGCTGGGGTCGGAGCTGGACCTACGGCACATCACGTGGCGGCTGCCCCCGGAGCTCATCCCGCGCCTGTCGGCCAGCAGCGGGCGCTCCTCCGACGCCACCGAGCCGCCCCGCGGGTCCCCGGACGACAGCGCTGATGGGGGCGCAGGGCTAGCAGTAGGGGAGGGAAGCGGCCTGGCCCGCGGCGCTACGCCTGGGCCCTCTGGAGGTGACCGGCCCAGACCGGCGCGCCCTGACTCCGCACCCACCGAGGCTCACTCATTTACTGGCCCAGGGTCCCGGCCTGAGCTTGCCGTGGCTGGGCTGCCCATTAAGGCCCCCTGCCTGGCCAGGGGACGCACAGTGGTGTGGAGGCAGACCACCGGAAACAAGGGACCTCCAGGGCAGGCGTTTGGTCTCTCCCCAAAGCAGGACTGCCCCTGGGGGCAGTGACCTCCATTATGATGCCTGCCCAGCTGGGCACATACAACTTCGTAAGTGTTGTGCCCAGCTGGCAGGCCCTGCTACCCAAGGAGACCCCTCAAAGGCCTCAGGGGACACAGGGGCAGGCATTTGGGCTTCCCCCAAACCAGGGCTGACTGCAAGGGCAGTCAGTCTCCAGCTGGGGTCAGCGGTGTTTGAACTGTATATAGTGGCATCCTGCCAGGCCGGAGGATGTGGCCTGCAGAAGCCCGTGTGGCCCCTTGGACTCCTCTGGGGACATTGGGCCTTTGTCCCTGGTGGGCTGAGGGAGGCTGGTTGCATTTATGCCCCTGGAGGGTAGGTAATCCCGGAATTCCCAGGGCCACAGCCTGCCTGCCCCACGGGGCTCCGGGCTGGGTACTGGCCTGTCCAGGTGACCCTGCTTCCCCCTGCAGAGCACTTGGTAAACGGGCGAATGGACTTTGCCTTCCCGGGCAGCTCCAACTCCCTGCACAGGATGACCGCAGCCAACGCAGCCTATGGCACCCACCTGAGCCCGCACCTGTCCCACCGAATGCTGAGCACATCCTCCACCCTCACGCGGGACTACCACTCGCTGACCCGCACAGAGCACTCGGGCACACTCCCCAGGGACTACTCCACCCTTACCTCCGTCTCCTCCCACAGTGAGTGCCCACCGCCAACTCCACCTCTCCCACTAACCCTTCCTCTCTTCCAGCTCCTGGAGGCTTGGGCTGCTGGCCTGCTGCCCCCCCTGCCCATCCCCCAACACACACACACTTTCTGCCCCTCATCTCCTGTTTTGTCCCACCCTAGGCCTCCCTCCCATCTGGGAAGACGGGAGGAGCAGGCTTCCGCTGTCCTGGGCCCTGGGGTCCTGGAGTCGGGCTCAGATGAAGGGGTTTCCCCCCTCCAGGGACTCACCAGACTCTATAATACTGGCTGGGCAGCCAGCAGCGCCCTCTTGGGGCCCAGGTAGTACAGGGTAGCTATCCTGTGTCTCCATGGCTGTCCTGCTCCATCTGTCATTCATCACCCATTGCAGCCACTGCCCATGACCACCACCGCCCCCTCCATTCCATCCACATCAGCGCTGATGCCTAACACACCCTCTGCCTTCCCAGGGGTGTTGGGCTGGGGCTGGGGCAGGAGGGGCCAGGCCAACTGAGAAGGGGTGGGGCACTGGCCAACTCATGGTGCTTGCCCTCTCTTGGCACAGGCAGGGCCCATACCTGCTCTGAGGATGTGTGGGAGGTGCTGGGTGGCCTGGACAGGGGGTTGCAGTGTGAGTGAGCTGCTCCACTGGCAGTCAGTGTAGACGTGACATCTGAGGGAGGTCAGGGAGAGAACTAGGACTCCTGCCAGGGACCCCTGACTCAGGCTGACTGTGGCCTCCTTTCTCCAGGCTCCCGCTTGACTGCAGGTGTCCCCAACACACCCACCCGCCTGGTTTTCTCAGCCCTGGGGCCCACATCTCTGAAAGTGAGCTGGCAGGAGCCGCAGTGCGAGCGGGCGCTGCAAGGTTACAGTGTGGAGTACCAGCTGCTGAATGGCGGTGAGTCACGGCTGCAGGCAGGCTGTGGGCCTGGCCCCACCTGTGACACACAGGGGCATCCAGCTGTGTGAGGAATCCACCCAGGTCCCTTGAACACTAATGCCCCTCTCCCCTGTCCCCAGCCTCTCTGGAAGGGTCTCACTTCCATGCCCCCCACTGCCTCCTCTCTCCTGAGTCCTAATCTATCTCCCTGGGCCTCTCTCCAGGTCATTCCCTCTGCTAGATTTTGCCTAACAAGGCCCCACTGGCCTAGGGACCCAGGGCCTCTGTTGTCCTAGGAGATGCCTTTGTGGGAATTGGGAAGTAGCACTTCTCTAGGTAGACATACTCGCCGTGGCATGACCTGGGCCCATCAACAGCCAGAACATAGGTGGGATTTCAGGCTCCATGCATCCCTTGTGTAGTGTACAACCTGAACCGCCAACCATACCATACTAGGCTGACCTTAAACCGCAGCTATTCTTGGGTGGGTGATGACCAGGTCTTGGTGGCAGCCTGGGGCAAGGGCAGGGTCAGGTACGGGTGGGAATAATGCTGCTCTACTATCTGCCCCCACCCCCATCCCCACTCCAGGAGAGGTGCATCGGCTCAACATCCCCAACCCCAGCCACACTTCCGTGGTGGTGGAAGACCTTCTCCCCAACCATTCCTATGTGTTCCGCGTGCGGGCCCAGAGCCAGGAAGGCTGGGGTCCAGAGCGAGAGGGTGTCATCACCATTGAATCACAGGTGCACCCCCAGAGCCCCCTCTGTCCCCTACCAGGTAAGCTGCCTCCCCCAGCCCCTATGGCTATCCCCCACCCACATACACACACACACACACACACACACTGACACTCCTCTGTGTTGGCCCCAGGCTCCGCCTTCACTTTGAGCACACCCAGTGCCCCAGGCCCGCTGGTGTTCACCGCCCTGAGCCCGGACTCGCTGCAGCTGAGTTGGGAGCGGCCACGCAGGCCTGATGGGGATATCCTGGGCTACCTGGTGACCTGCGAGATGGCCCATGGAGGAGGTGCCGCCTGCCACAGGGTCAGGGGTGGCCAGGGGAGGGATAGAGAGGGAGACACAGGGGCTAACGGCATCTTCCTTGCCCAGAGCCAGCCACCACGTTCCTGGTGGATGGTGACAGCCCTGAGAGCCGGCTGATGGTGCCAGGCCTCAACGAGAACGTTCCCTACAAGTTCAAGGTGCAGGCGAAGACCACCCAAGGCTTTGGCCCCGAGCGTGAGGGTATCATCACCATTGAGTCCCAGGATAGAGGTAGGGTGTCTTGCCCTTTCTTCACCCCCACCCCTTCTCTGGCTATACCTTCTCCTGGCACCTTCCACTGACTGCCTCATCTGCCCACTCCAGGCCCCTTCCCACAGGTGGGCAGCCACCTTGGGCTCTTACAGCACCCCCTGTCAAGCGAGTACAGCAGCATCACCACCACCCACACCAGCACCACCGAGCAGCCCTTCCTGCTGGGTAAGTTGCTGGGCGGGGGCTCCCGGCTCTCCCAGGGGAGCACAGAGCTAACCAAGGAAATGGAGCAGGGGCAGGGACCAGGCAGGGTCCTTCAACACCTCTTCCTCTATAGATGGACTCACCCTAGGGCCCCAGCGTCTGGAGGCGGATGGCTCCCTCACCCGGCACGTGACCCAGGAGTTTGTGAGCCACACACTGAGCACCAGTGGGACCCTCAACACCCAGGTGGACCAACAGTTCTTCCAGACCTGAGCCCCCAGCCCCCGCCAGGCTGTGTCCTGGAACCTGGGTCCCCACCCCGCCTCCCCTCCCTGGTGCTGCCTCAGCTACACCATCCTTGGGCCCCTGGTGGCCCCGCCCACCCACATGCTGATCACAGGGCCAGCGCCTTTGACCACAAGGCAGGGAGTGGGTGTTCTTTGTGTGAGGCCTGAAGCCGGGAGGGCAGAGGGTCCCATCCTGCCTACACCCATTTGTAACCAAAGAGCTAGGACCAGCATAGCAAGGACCCAGCTTTGTTCTGCACTTAATAAAAGAGTTTGCTACCACTTGGCTTTGCCCTGTCCATTCTGGGGCCTGCTCAGAGCAGGGAAGCGGTTCTGACACCCACCCTTCTCTGATGGCCACACACCCACCACGAGAGGCAGGCAGCTATCAGTGGTCCGAGGCACAAGTTTATTGAGCACCCAGAGGTGGAGGGCAGGGGCCCGAGGCATGGAGCTTTCTGACTTGGTACCTGGCAGGCCCCATGCCTGCCATGTGCCATCCGAGGGAAGCCCCTCACACGTGTAGCACCTTGGCACCGTCAGCCGCCTGGGAGAGGTAGAAGGTGGCGGTGCCACTGTACTGAGCCTGGGGAGAGGCAGATGGAGTCTGAGCGCTGCAGGGCCCTGGGAATGTTCCTCCCGCTCCCCTAGGCTCTGGCAGTCGCGCACCTGTATGTGCTGCATGGCTTGGGAAGCAGTGGAGGCCTCCAGCAGGGTCACTGTGCAGCCACCAAAGCCGCCACCCGTCATGCGGCTGCCATAAACCCCGGGTGCAGACAGCGCGGCCTCCACCAGCTGGTCCAGCTCAGGGCAGCTCACCTCATAGTCATCCCTGCAGGAGACAGGAAGGGTGGGCCTGGAACAAGCCCCACCTGGCCCTGGGGACAGCCTGTGCCCGAGATGCCCCAGCCCAGGGGGCCTCACCTGAGTGAGTGGTGACTCTCCACCATGAGGCGGCCAAAGGCTCTGTAGTCGCCCCGGCTCAGGGCAGCCGCTGCCTGGGCCGTGCGCCGGATCTCCCCCACGACGTGCCGTGCCCGCCTGAAGCCCTCCTTGCTCACCAGCTCTCTGCCAGCTGGGGAGTAAAGGAGTCAGCAGACCCGCCGCCATTCCCCCGCCTCTGAGCCTCTGCAGGGTTGGGGCACCGTAGCTCCTGGGGGTGGGAGGCTGGGGGGGGAACAGGGGAGCTGCCTCTGACAAAGCTATAGGTAGGACCTTGGGTTGGTGACTAAGCTTTCAGCACCTCCCCTCATCAACTGTCAAGTGGGACGCCCACCTCAGTCATGGCGCCATGAGGACCTGTACAGCTCCCAGCAGGGCGCCTGGCATACAGGGGTGTACTCAATAACCAACATACAGGGGTGTACTCAATAACCCAGACTCTTCATTTCCAAGGTGAGTGGGACACAGTGCTGCCTTCAGGAAGCCACCACACAGCAGGAGGGGGAAGAAATCCTGATTACGCTGGCACAACCACGGAGCCTCCAAGGGCTGGGGCTCCAGAGCGGGGGAGGGAAAGAGCCCAGGCCCAGGTCAGGAGGCAGGGCTCAGGGCTCAGGGCATTCCAGGAACCAGGCTGCCCCACCAGCTAACGTTGAGGGGGGTGGTGGGCAAACCGCAGCCCTGAGCACCAGGGCACCTTGCTACTTGATTCGTGCTGTCACAGAGGTTTGCCAGGAGGGGAGGGACAGAGCTGAGCTCTAGTAGACAAGTGAGTGCCTCGGGCAGAGGGCCCAGGCTGGGAAAGGTGGGCACCAGGAGCCCACCCCTCAGCTGTTAAAGAGACCAAAGAGGGGCCTGATGGGGGGAGGAAGGAAAGGAGGAGACAGAGGTCAGAGACAAGAGTGGGAGGTGGAACAGTGAAGACAGAGGGGACAAGGGTGATGACATAACAGACAAGGGGAAGGCAAGAGAAGCCTGTGGGGAAAAGGATGATGGGTTCCAGTGTGGGCAGGAAGGCTCCAAGACCCCAGGTGGAAAAGGGGGGCTGCAGGCTCAGAGCTGAGTCCTTAATGGAGCACCGGTGGCAGGTGCCGTGCGCTGAGGACAAAGCCTGGGGAAGACACAGGCAGAGAAACAGGAGGACTGTGAATGAGCAGATCCCGCCACTGATGGGGAGGGGAATGCCATCCATAGAACCCCTGGGAGTCGTGGCAGGTGGCATAGGAGAGGGACAGACAGATTCAGGGGACTAAAAAATGAGTGGAGATGAGAAAGCGAGGGTGATAGAAGACTGGGAGGAGAGTCTTCCAATTGTAATAGAAAGGAGAATCCACTTAAGGAGGGGAGAAAACTGGCCCTGTTTCAAAGTAGAAGGGGAAGAGCCAGGCAGAGGACAGGAAGAACGGAAGGTGTAGGTGTGTGGGGCCTGCTTACAGAAGGCAGATGGGAACACTGCTCCTGAGGTAGAGGGAACCGCATCCCAGCAGTGGTACAGAAGGGCTGAGGCAGAAAGGAGGGATGGCAAGTGTTCAAATGCGAAAACCTTGGCACAGAGCAGGCAGGGCAGGTCTGAATGTGACAGTTCACCAAGGAGAAGATGGTCCCTTGGGGCTGGCCAGTGTCTGTGAAATGGGCACACCCACGCTGCCAGGGAGGACACAACTCCCAACAGTAGCAGCATGGTCTGGGGGTCAAGAGTGTGGGCTTATGGAGCTAATGTGCCTGGGTTCAAGTGTCAGCACCACCACTGACAGCAGACTCGCCATCAAAAAAAAAAAAACAAAAAAAAGAGAGAAAGAGAATAACAGTATCTGCTCTGTAGAGCTGTTAGAGAATTAAATGCGTTGTTTATACGACCTTCAAACAGCTAAACAAGGTTCCTGGCCATGTGTAGCAGGAACCTTAAAAACACATGTATCTTTTCACTTTAATCCTACTAAAAATCTAATCCCAAGAAAATAATAAGAGAATGCAAGGAAAGACTTATGTATAAAACGTTCATCACAGTGTTAGGTGTGATTATCAGGAAGTGGTTAAGTAAATTATCACGCACCTGTATGCTGAAATATTGTTAACTTTTAAAAGTCATGTTGATGGGCCTTTCATGGCATAGGAGAATGTTAAGTTTTAAAAAATGGGCTGGTGACAATATTGAATATACTCAACTTTGAAAATACAGATGTAGGTAAACCCTGGGAGTATGTTAAAATGCTAACGGTAGCTATCTCTGGGTAGTGGCCTTATAGCTTATTTTCTTCTTTGTACTTTTCTACATTTCCCAGAAGTATAGTGGAAATGTACTTCTCATAGAAAAAACAATATTAAGATTTCAAGCAGCCCTGCTGAGGTTGGTGCCCTAGGTTATAGTGCTTGGGGGAGTGGGCAGAGCATGGCAGAGATCCCTGGAGATGAGGCCCTGGCAGCCCCTGCAGGGTGCCCAGCTACCTCCAGGAAAGGGCGCACCCAGCCAGCTCTCACCCTCCAGCTCTTCCAGCTGCACCTCCCGAAGGCTCTCCTTGCCCAGCGCCCGGGCCACTTCTTCGCACTGGCGCCGCCGGAGGGGGTACTCGCTGGAGCCCAGTGAGTGACGGACATTGGAGTTGGTGATGAGCACAGCCAGCTTGGGGTCCGACAGCGGCACCAAGCTTGTCTCTAGGGACCTGATATGGAGTTGGAATGGGGAGATGGCAAGGCCAAGTGTCTGCTTGTCATGCCCGGCAGTGGGCATGCTCCCCAGAAGCTCCTGATTATGAGCAGGAGGGTACAAGGGGAGCCCCTAACCTGCAGTCAATGAGCAGTGCATTGTCCTTCTGCGCCAGCAATGCGATGAGCTGGTCCATGATGCCACAGGGCACCCCTGCGAAACTGTGTTCGGCCCGCTGACACACCTGGGCCCGGGCGGCTATTGCCCCCGAGTCTGTGGCACAGGGTGAGATGGCGAGGCTAGGGCCCAGGAGAGGGCACAAGGGCTGTGTGGGTGGGAGCAGCAGTAGCTCCAACAACACTCCAGGGAGATTCCCCACCCCCTCCCGAAGCCATGACAGAGGAAGAAGCTCTGGCCACAAGGAGACCTCAGGGAAGGGGGGTTGGGTTGGGGGCTGGGATCTAGGAGGTACCTGGGCAGAGCTGCTGCAGGAAGGTGTATGTGGCCACTTCCAGGGCTGCCGAGCTGGACAGTCCACCCCCCAAGGGCACGGAGCTGACCACCACTGCACTGAAGCCAGGGAGAGGGGCAGCTGCAGGCGAAACAATGGATGATGGTAAGATGGGCACAGGAAAGGCACGTATTTTGGTATGAAGGGAAGCAACTGCCTGGTGGCTGCTTCCAGGAATAGGTCTCAATTATCAAAGGCCACTGACCTGCTGGGCCAAGGGGCCCACCGCCCTCCTATCCTGAGGTTCCTGGGACACAGTCTTCCTAATTCTCCTCCTGGCTTAGGGCTCTGGAGGCCAACAGGTTAGGGTTTCAATCCTGGCTCCTCCAATCATGTAATGGGCAACCTCTGGGCATCAGTTTCCTCACCTGTACAATGGGGGTGCTCTACCCTACCCCACAGTGGATTAGATGAACTAATGGGCTTACTGGCTGAGAGGTGGTGCTCCTGGCACCAGCATGAACTTGACCCAGGCCAGGCCTCATACCTGGGTAGTGTTGAATTACACCCTTGACATAGTTGGCCCAGCGGGGGGTCCCGGGCTCCAGTGACCGCTGGGCTGTGGGCAATGGAAACTGCAGCCTCCGGGGCTCATCAGCGTCCTCAGAGGTGGTGAGGAGGGAAACAAGGCCATCTGCCCGGGGGCTGCCCACTAGCACGGTCACCAGCTCCAGAGCCTGGCAGGAGAGACAAGGAGTGTGCAAAGCTTCCACCAGCTAACAAATGGAGTCCCCTCCAATACTAAAGTTCTGAAGAGTGTGGGGTCTGAGACAGACAGGAGGGTGTCCCCCAGGTTCAACAGGAAAGGAATGAGAGTGTCTCAGGAAAGAGCCTGAGTGCTGAGCTGGCCTTGGGGGCTTAGGCCCTGCCCCCTGGGTTTTCAGGGGCGGGACCAGTGCACAGACCTGGACTCTGCCCGGAGCATGGGCTCCCAGCTGTGGGATAATGGAGAGACGGAGCTCAAAAGGAAAACTGAATCAGAGAGGTTCCATCTAATGCCTTCCCAATTTGGGGTGGCCTCAGGTGTGCTGTACCCACTCACTTGCCAAGTTGCACGGGGGGATGGAAAGAACCCCAGGCTGAGAGCTGGGAGGCCTGATTCAAGTTGCAGACCAACCAAGCACCATCTGACCAGCTGTGTGACCTTGAGCAGATCACTAGCCCCCTCTGGGCTTCAGTTGCCCCCTCTGGAAATTGAACCTGCTGGGCGAAGAAACTCAGGGCTAGTTCTCCTGGGGTCTGTGGGGCCTCATGGAGGCCTGAGCCCAAGCGCCTCCGCCTCCTTCGGCATGCTACACGGGGGAAGGCGGCAGGGCCGAGAGCGGGGGGGCACATTGCGTGATGGTTTCCAGGTTGCTGGCCAGGATCAGCAGTCCACCGAGGGCGGGCTTGAGCCAAGAGGCGTAGGCACACCCCCGCCCAGCCGCCTTCCTCGCGGATTCCCGCTTCCTCCCTTCCTACGTGGGCAATGCCCCGTCCCAGGGTCTCTCCCACGTGCTCGTCCCCCAAACTCCGCGGAAGTTGAAGTTCGGTGCGGCCTGCCTGCGTCCACGCGGAGACACGGCGATTCCCCGCGCCCCTCGGGCCGGGCCTTCCGGCGGCGCGGCCGGGGCCCCGGGAGAGGCTCGGGGTCCCTCCCAGCCCCTCACCATGGGCAGCACGAGGCCCCGGTTGTAATCCGTGTGCTCTCCGATGAGGTTGACGCGGCCGGGAGCTGACACCGCCAGCTCCGGCTCGGCCCCGAACTCCTCCCGGAAGGCCCTCCGGGCCTCGGCCAGCAGCTCCCCGACCTGGGGTTGTCTCGCAGCGGCCATGACGCTCGCCCTGCAGCTCCGCCGGCGCAGCCGGGTCGGCGCGGGATGCTCGGGGCGGGGCTGCGGCGGGTGGCGTGCATTCCTGCACTCGCCGCCCCGCCCGGGCGGCCCGCTGCGCGCCCCCGCCCGGGTCCCACGGGCCCCGCCCCGCCCGCAGCCCCGGTCCGTGTCCTGCTGCGGGGCGCGCGCCAGGCGGCGGGCTTTGGGAAAGGCCGCTGGGCGCCCATTCGAGTGGTATTGGCCAGACTGGGAGGTCTGAGCTGCCCTTTCTGTCCCTGTGCCCCTCTCTGTGCCCACACCCACCAGCCAACCATCCACCCACAGCCGGAGCGGCCAAGCTGGCATCCAGTCAACCTGGGTGTCCAAAGAAATCTGCTAGGTCCTAGAGTCCTGCAGCTGTGAGAGGTCACCAGCCCCTGGTCATGGGTCTCTAAGAGGGTGGACTGGCACTCTGTATAAATAGCGGATAAAGCCAAGTTTGGTGGTGACCAGGGAGTCTCTCTCTACAGGCTCCTAGGGTGGACGTGCTGTCACAGCTCCTAGCAATGTAGCACTGAAGGAGGGTGGCAATGGACAGCAGTGGGCCCAACCCTTCCTGATAGGACCTACAGCAGTTGTTAAGGTAGGTTGGGCTGTTGGCCCCAGCACGGGTTGCTTTGGGCTGAAGGGAATGGAGAATGGTGGAGGGATAAGAGGGTGATAGCTAAGGATATCAGTTATCTTTGTGGTGAGGAAAATGCTCTAGGATCGACTGTGGTGATGGTTGCACATTCCTGAGCCCAAATGTCTGCCCTTGCTAGTGTGTGATCTCAGGCAGACTGACTGGACCCTCTCTGAGCCTCAGTGTCTCACCTGTGAGATGGAGCTAGTGATTCCTCCCAACAGACTTACAAAAGGAACTAAAGGAGATCACCTCCATTGAGCGCCCAGCCCAGTACCTGGCACTTAGTAAGCACAGAATAAATGTTTGCTACTATTGTCCGTCATCCATAAATTATACAGACATTAGTGGACTCTCCTGCATGCAATTGGCCAGACAGATCAAAACCTCAGGCACTCACGCTCTGGTTGGGAGGCAGACACACTCTGGCCCCTCCAACCTTGACAAATGCTGGCACGGAGTGAAGAGCTTTTTGAGTGAGAGAGGAGGAATCCTGACTGCTGAAAAGCTCACACAAGTGTTTTTTATCCATCGTTTAATTTTGATTGAAAACGCGTCCGTCTGACCCATCTTCATCCTTTGTATAATTTCAGTTGTCCTTGGAGAACCTGCATTTATTTGATCTAAAAGGGAAGTGTTCCCGTTTGTTCAAGATGGACTCTGAAACATTGATTTTGTCTGGGATATGTGTTTACGCTCAATTTTTTAGTCCCATCTAAAATTTGTTACATGAAATTTGTTCAAAAGAAAGCCGACCTTAACCTTTGACTCTCCCTCCCATTTCCTGGCCAGATGTCACAGGATTGGGAGGAGGTGGCACCTTAATGGGGACACTGCACCCCAAGATCTGTCCTCTGTTCTGCTGGCTGAAAAACTCACTTGTTTCAGCACTGCCAGAGCCAGCTGTCACACGGGACTGAGACATCGAGATAGAATTCCCAGTAACATCCACCACAGGGCCATATTATCCAGTGATGGGAATATCACCCATGCCAGCCAGGTGCCTGGTAGCCTAGAAAGGCCTAGAGGTCGCCAAGGCACCTTTGTCCAGGCCATGGTGAGACCTGGCCCACCATTGAGGACAAGCACTCCAGAAGCACCTGTTCTCTCCCAGGGTCTGTGTCTGTGTCTGCACCCAATTCTTAGCCCATGGGCCCTTCCTGCTAGACTCCATCTTCCTTCAGGTGATGGAAGTCTGCACACTCCATGCAGCTCTGGCTTCGCCATTGCAATCACAGCCTGGTTCCCTAATGGGACATGGGGCTCCATCTCCCAAGCAAATACCTACAGACATAGTCTCTGAAAGTGTTTGCTCTCAGCAGATGACCCACCCTCTCATCTATTCTGGGAAGTTCTTTTTGTTGTTGTTGCCAGAGGGTTAACCTATCTCCTGATTTGGGCCCCTTTGCCTTTGTGGAATATTAATAACAGCTTATGAGGTGTTGATAATACTAATCTGGAGTTTGTGGGAGCCCTGGTTCCAGCTGGTACACAGTCCGTGGGACAGTGCTGGTTGTTTACTACCAGAGTCTGTTCTGATTGGTCACTGCCTCTGACTTCTGTTGTCAAATATTTTAAAAATCACCAGACTTTCCGCAGATTACTTCATTCATCCGAGTGGGAGAGCTGGGCCTTGAGCCTAGGTCTGTCTGACCCCTGAGCCGATTCTGTCAGCCACCACCCTGTCCCCACGAGCACCCTGACCCACTGCAGCCTCTGCTTACTAAAAGTGTTTAGATCTAAAGCTCAGCCTCTTAGTAAAGGACAGGAGGGACAACTCCACTTCCTACGTGGAACACTCCCAGTTTGGAAACCAGGCCCGTAACCAAAGCTCGGGAACGGGACTAACTCTTTGCCACCTGTGCCGGTGGATCCAACCAGCTGTGCTGTGGGGCTGCCAGGACTATTCGGGTTGGTCAGCACACATGTCTGGAGCCTCTGCTATGTGCCAGGCACGACTCCAGAGGCAGGCAAGATTCAGGCCTTGCCTTCGGGGCACCAGGGTTTTTTACCCCTCCCTAGCCTCAGATGCCCCTGCTAAGAGGGATCAGCTGCAGGACATGTCTTTATTTGGTGCCCCAACCATGTCCCTGATGTTTCTGCCCTCTAGGTTGACGACCACCCTGTCAATGGCCAGGGAGCAAATCCAGACCCACAAGATGCAGACAGCTCAGGGCTACGGCCGTCTCTTCCTGCACCTCCATTGGGTGCTGCACCTGGCCCAGGCTGCTGGGCCACTGGGGCTGGGCAGGAGGACTGAGACTGGCCAAAGGCAGGGCGCTGGGAGGGAGAGGACTGTGGGCTGCAGTAGGACCCTGAGACCCATGATGCCTGGGCCTGGACCCGACCCCATACTGTCCTCTCTGCTGACACCCTTGGCTCAGTGCTAGGAGATGAGGAGCTTCTGGGAAAGGTCCTGGGGCCCAGTGTGTCCAACAGAGCGGGTGGGAAGGGATTACAGGTTAGTGGAGCCCAGGCACCACCTCCACGGGGATGTGCGCAGCCCCTCACACACCCCTCAGCACAATGCCACCTGCCCTAAGCCTGTAGCTTACTGGCCTCTTCCCAGAGCCCTTCTTGTTACTGGTATTGGTATGTCTGAGATGGACTTCTCCCTTTCTGCTCACCTGCCATTTCACTGTGTATATTCCCAGAACTGCAGCTTCTTGAACAAGAGAGAAGACCCCAGACCCTGGCATCCGACCGACTATGCCCGACTGCGCCCCTTTCCAGGTTATGTGTGGCATTATATCCCCTCCAGGAGCCACAGCCTCACTGTAGCCCCCTCCTCTTCCTTCCCTGGTTAAGGGGGGTCTTTTGCAGAGCCTCTTAGCTTCCTCCATAGAGAAGGGTAATGGGGTGGGTGAGGGTGGGAGTGGAGGGTCCTCTGCTCAGGGCAGAAGGCTAAGAAGTGCTGCTCAGGGGTGTGCCTGACCATCCTGGCCCCTGCCTGACACCGGGCATAGTGCTCAGATGAGGACACCAGGACAGGCTGGGGACACATCACATAGAAGTCCCATGACGCTGCTTGGAACCATGGTAGTGTCTGGGTGGGCTCCCTCACTGCCAGGGGATGTTGAGCAGTCAGCAGGACCACAGGGAGCAGGCACCCCACAGGAGGGAGGACATGGCCTCTGGGCCCCTCCTCTCAGCACAGCCTCTCTGTTGATAAATGGAAGCTATCCCAGCTGCACCCACCTTAGCCCACGGCCTTGCTCATTCCTCAGACCTGCTGACAAAAAGCGTCAGGGAACCAAAAGGTCAGCCACCTGGCCCAAGAGGGCACTTGCAGCCTTCTCCCTGGGGGTGCGGCTGGATTTGGGTTAGCAATCTGGGCAGGGGCCTGGTCCTTCCTTCCCCTATCCCTTCTTCCCTCCCTCCCTCTAGCTGTAACCTCCAGAAAGTAGCCGGAAAGCCAACTGTTTGTGCCAAACTTGCTGGCTAGAAGCCAGGCCCAGTTGGATGGAGTGGCCCAGGCTGGTGACATCCCTAAGGAATGCCCACAGGGGGCAAGTGAGACCACCATGGGAGTGGAGGAAGCAGCGGTGGAGCCCAGACAAGGTGCAGCCTTGGTCGCAGATCAGTGCTTGGGGTGGGCTAAGGGAAGTGGGCTATGATGGCTCAGTGAGGTGACTTGAAAGTGTTCCCAACCCAAGGGATGAGGACGTGTGGCTGGGGATCACATGCCCAGGGTGGGAGACCAAGGATTTTGTGCCCAGTGGACCTTACCAGCCAGTGATACCACCACTGCACAAAGGTGTGGTGAAAGCCTGGCACCTCACCCTTCTCTGCGGCAGGTGAGGTTGGCTGTAGGCCTGAGGCTCTGATCCCTGGCCCTCGGCTGTTGCTCCCAAACACAGGCTGGCCCCATCCTGCAGAAACTGAAGGGCAAGCCCACGTTTCCTGCTGACCCGATGGCACAGCTGACGGAACCACGACCACACTCTGCTGCCCCGCCTGAAGGTGACTCATCTGCCTGCTTTCCAGCTGCTGCACAGACCCCAGCCCTGATGCCTGACACCGAGCCAGAGGCCATGCTTGCAAGGAGCCAGGTAGGGACAGCCCCAGTGGAGTCCACTGTTGGGGAAATCTGAGGAATGATTGAGGCAATGAGTGGGAGTCAATTTCCAGTCCAGCTGGTCAGCTCAGAGCCTGTTTCCTCACACTGACATTGGTTAGGCGGCGGCAGAGGTGCCTGGCTGGGGGCGAAGCAGTGGGTGGAGGCCTGGTTGGGGGACTAGGGTGCTCCATGCTGGGCTCTCCCAGATCTGTTTTCCCCTCTGGCGGATGTGATGGGGACCCAATGAATCTTTCGTTTAAATACAGATCTCAGGAAATAAGCTGGATTTGAAGTGCTTGCCTCCCTATACCTTTTATACCACCTTAAATTTTATAAATTGATGGAATTTGTCTTGTCCCTTAAGACTTTAAGTCATCTGGTCCACATACCAGTTCTGAGATGAAGCAGGGAGATTTAGAGACCCAGAAACATGGGTCCAGGGAGTCCACACTCTGGACCGTTACACTGCTGACTGCGTAATCGGGGAAGACGAAGTGTGGAGGGAGGGCAGTGGGGCCACCTCATCTGGCATGGACCTGGCTTCGGGACAGCTACCTTCCCAAAGGTACAGCTAGGGGCTCCATCCAGGATAAGGGTGATTGCTTGATTCTGAATCTCCTGGGAGCCCGCCAGCCATCAGGACCTCTGGCACTTCCAGCCCTCAACTTACCTGGCTCACATTAGTCTGGCCTAATTCAGCTGACAGTGAAGAGAGGCACTATTAATATGCAGGTTCAACAGGAACAAATTGACACCGTCCTGACCAAAATGATACATGTTGCTTTAAGGATAGGGGTATGCCTGTCTCATTACCGAATGCCCTCCCCCATCCCCAGCTGTCAGAAGGCAAGGTTTTCTGGACACTTCCCCACAAATTTTGTTTGTGAAAGACACAGATATCATCAGACACAGATGTCATCATTAAATAAAGACCACCACCAAGATGAGTGTCTCTTCAAAAACTTTATTTTTGTCTCATCCATCAAGGGCACAGTATACCTTCATCACCTCCAGCTTTTGTTTTCCTCCTTACAAACTGTCCCATCACCTACACCAAGGAATATCCTGTGTAGGCAGCTTCTTAGAACAAAATATGTCTTCCGGGTTAAGTGTGCTCAAGTATGAAATGCAAGTTGCACTATCTAAGCAGCCAATTCCAAGCTGCCCCCAAAATTCAAGAACTTTCTACATCAGGACACAGACGAGAAGGTTCAGGTGTCACCCACCTGGGTTACCACAAATAGTCACTCAACAGTTAACTCAAGCTGACTCGAAACCATAGCCGTTTCTACTTGTGTTCACAGTGCCATCCTAGAGCACAGGACACTCCAATGCCTAGGATTTCAGCTTCCTTCACAGTAAGGAAGCTGTCAGAGTTGGTTAATTGTTCCAGAGCTGGTTATGATGGACCTTTTAGAAACACCCCTAAGGCTCCTAAGTTACCAAGATTCCCAAGCCTATTCTAGCTTGCCTCTCTGCAAGACCTTTATATTTTTAACTAATCCTATTAAAAACACACACACAAAAACATTAGGGCGTGTCTTTCTACACCTAGCCTGGTGATGTACAGGATGCTTTGTCTGACTGTGGCTCTTGTGCCCTGTCCTGCTGGCATTCATATATTATGCTTTACAGCTGGTCATCATTGGTCAAGAAAACGTTTTCTTACTGAAAAGGTGGCTTAGACCAATGAGTTCCTTGCCTCTGGGCTTGTTAAAACAACTTGCTGTATTGAGATCTAGAACATTTCATGTTCATGGAACACACCCCAAATTTGAGCCCTAGAAATTTACTTTTCTTGGCCTATGTTGTACTTGAAACAAATTTTTACTCCTTGACAATATGGGAGAGAGGGAAGCATATAAATACCAATCATGGCATTTTTAGGAGATGGCCTTCTAACATGCTTTCTGTAACTATTTTTGTAAATAAAAGGTTCATCTAACCAAGCAAAACCTAAATAAGCTAAACTCAAACTTTAAGATACAAAGAACCTAGTTAATGGATTCAAGATTTGTACATTCAATTTAGGTTTTTGACACTTAGTTGGATAAACAAGTTTATTTGTAAATTTAGTCAACGCACATAATTGACCTAAGGACTTCAATAGAAGGATAAATTTAAAAACCACTTGAAGTCCATCTCTATAAAGTGATTTTCCCAGAACCATATATATACCAGATGTAACCTAACTGGGATGCCATCTTAACTGGCAGAGGTTCAATAAGCTGGAGCTGTGTGCCCCTCCCCCATCACAAATTTACTCTTAAGTGTTATAATACAAACTCCACAAGGAAAAGAACTTAGGTATTGTTTCCTCTTGGTAGAGAAACTCAAACCTAGTTATGAGACCAACCACAACACAAAGAAAAGCTGCACTAACTAGTTCAGAATATTAGTAACAGATGATGCTGGTGTGAATAACTTGTATTATATTCTAGAGCCCTTATAAATAAAATTCCCCATTAGTGTTTGCATTATCAGCTAGAGGGTTAGTTAACACGTGGTAGAATGAGGACTTATGCAAGGTACAATGAGCAAAGCCTTTTACTATGAAAACAAGCGCAGCCTGGTTAGGAGAAAACCGACTGGACTCTAAATTACACACACCTTAATGACAAGACTCCCCACCACGTGAATGTAAAACATTTAATTTAAAAATGTTGACACTACAATATATAAAATAGCTATTATAAATGCACATAGTGTATTCTATAGCTGCCAGGTTTACTTTTTTTTTTTTTTTTTTTTTTTAAGGAAACTGTAAGTTACACTGTGGTTAAGACTTGTATCTTCACCCTTGAAAAAGCCCACATTCTATCACAGTGATGCATGGTCAGACTTAACAGCCCCAATTGTTAAACACTTGGATCAAGTCATAACCAGTTTTATTGCAAAAGGACCCTGTACACATTTATCAATTCTAGTACCTTAATATCTACCCAACAAGTCATTAACATACAGAAACATGCATCATGAGAAGCGAGAAATATCACCCATCCCTTCTGCATATTAGCAACTTGTCACTCCTGAGCAACAGTGCTCACATCACTGAGGTCTGTGAACAGTCACTTTTCGCATTCATCCTGAGTGAAAGATGGAATGACTTAAGTACAAATGCAACATATTATAAACAATTTCTTACAAAAAAAGTCACAAATTAAACCAAAGTATTTTACAGAATTTACTACAAAACACCATAAAAACCGCCTTCACTTAAGCTCGCTCTCCCCGTATCCGGCGAGCCAACTGGATGTCTTTGGGCATGATGGTGACTCTCTTGGCGTGGATGGCACACAGGTTAGTATCTTCAAACAAACCCACCAGATACGCTTCGCTAGCTTCCTGTTGAGGACAAGAGCCACAGCATTACACTCTGAGAAACCAGCCCCAAGCCCCCCGCCCCTACCACGGCCTTGTCACCTTACCTGAAGCGCACCGATGGCGGCACTCTGAAACCTCAGGTCAGTTTTGAAATCCTGGGCGATCTCCCTCACCAACCTCTGGAAAGGCAGCTTCCGGATCAGAAGCTCGGTCGATTTCTGGTAACGACGAATTTCTCGAAGCGCAACGGTCCCGGGCCTGAGCGAGCAGGAGGGTGTAAACGGACACCAGTTAACTGACAGCGCCGGCGCCCTACCGGGAGCGCTGGAATTCCCGCACCGCGCAGCGCCGCCAAGTCATTGTTTTCCCTCAGCCTCGCCTACCTGTAGCGGTGAGGCTTTTTCACCCCGCCGGTGGAGGGGGCGCTTTTCCTGGCAGCTTTGGTGGCCAGCTGTTTGCGGGGCGCTTTCCCACCAGTGGATTTACGAGCAGTCTGCTTGGTTCGGGCCATTTTCTTTCACCTAAAGAATGCAACCATGACTCTCAGGCCGCGACGCTCGTCTTGGGGAGGTGGGGGGCGAGGGGGCGGGACAGTCCCGGAGCCCCTGCCGGGCCGCCGCCTCGCACCCACCTCGCCGCGGCAGATGGCCGAGGCCGCCGCCGCCGCCTCCTCCCCCTCCCCTAATGACTCAGGCTGCGAGTAGCAGCAGCCTCCCCTGGGAGGGGGGGCGCGGGGAGGAGTCACTTCTCCTCCAGGACGGGCGGAGTCCCCGCTGCCCGGAAACCCAGCGTCGGGACGTCTGAATCACCAGCGGGAAGCGTGGGCGGGGGGGAGACGCGGTTCCGGAACAAAGCCCCAAGGAAATACCTCCGCGCCCCATACCCGCTGCCAGCTGCCCGAGCAGCCCGCATCAACCGGCACTCGGCCCTCAACGGCTGCAGCCCGCGGCCATCAACGGCTGGCGGGGCCTCAAGTCACGGGTAAATCCACGAACGCTTACCCAACGCCAAACTCTTAGGCCGCTTCTCCTGTCGCCGCGCCGCTTCTGCTGCCCAACGAAAAGCCGCAGTAGCCGACGAAAACAAAGACGACAATCGGACGAACGACCAAACCGCTCTGATCGAAACCCCCCCAATGTCTCCGGTTTTATACCCACGCTTCACGCTGCGTCTCTACGTCATAGTACCCTCATTTGCATACACCAACGACTTTTCCTATTGGCGGGAGCTTTCGCCGACGCGTTGACATCCCCCGACACAAAGGCCGTGCTTCTGCCCTGTTCCCTGATTGGTGAATATCTAGGCCTCTGATTGGCTCTTAAAGTGGCCTAACGATTGGATAAAAGCAAAGAGAAATGGGCGAATCAGAGTTTAACACTAAACGGCTCTTCTGATTGGATAAAATGGAACTATGTTTGGATCCTTCCCTTGGTTCCAAAGCTCTACAATAGAAAGTCAATGCAAATGAACTGCATTGGCCCCTATCAGGACTCAAGAGTCCGGATGGGCAGAAGCCCAACCTTATTGGCATCAAGTAATGTATTCAATGCAGGAGAGGTTACTTTAATGAAATGTTGGTAAATATTTTCCAATGTAACATAAAAATGTGTTCCCTATGGTTATTTACTTCTCATTAACATTTTGATAGTTTTAATTCATTTTTGTTGTTGTTGTTATCAAGTTTTATTCAAGAGCTCATACAAAATATTTCAGATGAGTTTTAACTTGTTTAAAAACTTTGGGGGCCGGCCAAGTGGCTCAGTTGGTTAAGAGCTCGCTCAAGAGTTTGAGCTCTGAGCAACAGCAGCTCAAGTCCAGCCCTAGCTGAGCGGCCACTGAGCTGCCAACAGGTAGCAGGATGGCTCAGCTAAAAAAAAAAAAAAAAAAAAAAAGTATGTATGTAGTGTAAATGAGAATTAGAATTCAGTAAATCATGTTATATTACCAGATATTTTATTTATCATGCATATACATTTTAACCAAAAAGCAGTTCTTTTGTCTGGTAGGATGGGGAAGGGTACATAATAGCTACAAAGAAACAAATGTCAATAAATTATTTTATAAGTACCATTTTGTACGTTCTTAGGCCATCACAAAATGCTTTGTGATTTCATTATGCTTAGAGTTAAACAAGAAGTAACACACTAAGCAACATATTTTTGAATTATGTAACTCAACTGAATGAAATGACTACAGCCAAAATGGGAATAGTCCTATGACAGCACTTCTAATGTCCATAAAGAGTAAAGGAAAGACAACTACATTTAATATGTGCCTTTATGTTTAATGGTATATCATGGAGGTACTACTTCTGAAGAAACATGACAAATATATAAAAATGGTAATCCCTATCCTTAACTAAATAAATGTCTTGGGTGAGTTGGAATATTCAGTACTCTAGTGACTCAGGTATATAAAATACCAAAGCAGAATTAAGGTTAAGAACAGCCAAACAAAGCTCAGAAATTGAAATAGATCTTTGGACAGTCTACTCCATAGTTCTTACTCTGGATTTACTGAATATTTTAAATTATTAAAATCTTTTTATTTTAGCAAAACCAGTTACATATAGATTTCAACAGAAAACTATTACACATAAATACAAATACCTAAAAAATGTACTTGTGACACCAAGTCTTCTCTCAGTATCAATAGTGAGAAAAAAATGCACAATTTGTAAAAGCAGCTACGGTGTTGGCCCAATCTCTAGTACTGAATTCCTCTATTTCAGCCCTTTCAATCATTACACTCACAATATGTATTAATGACCACATATTTAAACTTTTATATGATAATTGAATCAACTTTAATTTCTGCCTCCTCAGAGTTTAGGGTAAGGTAAAGATTAACCTTTTTAGTACATTTATACCATGCTGAGAAGAGAAACCAAGATAAAGGTTCTTGCCCTGTTCTCAAAACCTGTGAAAAGTGGAGAAACAAGGCACTGCTTCCATCCCACATAGGAGACTCTCAAGACTCTGGATGTAACCAGGAAAAATACAGTCATCTTTTTTTCACTGCTCAAATGGCCTGGAGAAGGAATGGGCTCCTTGAAACACACCCTTTGTGTTCCAAGGCTTTTCTGAGATCCAGAACTTTGTCGGTCCCGTGCCTCCTAGAAGAGAGATATGCTAGTTATATTTTTTCCATGTTGCTCATTATTAGAGAGGAACTAAAACTGCTACAAGAGAAACTAGGTAGGGATTTCCATTCATTCATTTAAGGACAATTCGTGAAAATAGTTTGTCCCTCTTGCGAGGCAGTCACACAGGTTAGTTTTTCTTTTTCCTAAATTGGTGCAGGGAAGGAAAAGCAACACAGCAAATGAACTGCAAATGTTTATACAATCAAAACCATGCAGAATGTGATGTAGGCTACTGTCCTAGTTCCTGTTCTGTCACAGAGTTGCTGAGTAACTGTGCAAGTCACTTAACCTCTCTGAGTTTCGTTTTCCTCTTTTGTAAATTAAGCAGTTTGGATGACATCATCTCCCAATTCTACCATTACACACGTAATTCTGAAGCTCATGGTATACACTTATTTAAAATCGATCACTATGAACTATGTATCTTCATTCAGATCACACTCCAGTATTTTGGGTTTAACATATAGGCCCATTACTTGGATTTAATAATAATGCGATTAAAATAATACACAACAACTTTTTGTCTTTTTGTAATTTTTCATCTCCCAATGCCCCTAGTGGTTAAACATTTAGCCTGTTTAAGAAATATCACTTTTTTAACTTTGTAGGCTGACAATTTTGGCTTCTGATGTGAGGTTACTAGAAACTAAATAAAATATCATTCTTAAACATCAACAATTTTCCATTCACCCCACACTCCCTCACTCCTGAAGTTATTTGGAATGTGTTTATTTAATAAGATGATCATTAGTTAACATAATCCCATCTAATAAAATACAAATCAGTGTTAAAAACAATGGATTTAAATAGATTCGATATGGAAAACAAAGTTAAATGGCAAACGTTAAAATATGAAGAATTTTGCAGAGCTCACAGTCAAATGCCTAGTATGGGGGAACTGGCTTATTTTACAAAGTCCACAAAGTGAAAAATAGTCCCACTGACGGGAAGCGGGGAGGTGTGACATTTTCCCAGATGCAAAGGGTGACGTTCTGAGCAGAGAAGAGGAGTGGATTATAAATCGCACCCCCTACTCAAACCCAGGCCCTTCCTCTGGACACTATGTGATGCTTCTCAATACCCCTGCAACCTGCCAGTGTACCTGAGTGTACCTGAGACTATTCTAGACGGAGATTAAATTCGTCCTTGGCCCCTAATGTACTGGAAACAAGTTGGTCAGGCCAGGTGTCGAGTTGACAAGAGAACCAAATCGTGGAGTTCCAGGTTTCAGGGTTGCTAAAGGTTTAGGGAGCGCCCCAGCAAAGACGCGGGAACAGAGAGTATCGTGTTGTAGCTCTTCTTTAGCAAAGCTTTCTCAAGCTGACTTCAAGCAGGTACTTTCCTTCACGTCTCTGAGGCTAGTCCCACTGCAGGAATAGGGAGGATGCTGGCGCACTCCAGGTGCCTGCAGCACAAAGGTCCAGAGCCAGGAACGGGCGATACAGATCCTTAAGCACAGCTCGGGGCCGGCATCAGAACCGAGCTCAAGCTTTACCAAGTCTGGAGGCGAGGTAATTATTACACTGTTGGCAGTAAAATTATACTTGGAACTGTTTCACAGACGTCGTCAAGGCCTCCCTAGCTCTGGGCCCCATCTACTCCAGGGGCTCCAATTTCAGGGAAAGGTACCCCTAACGAGACTGAAACGCGCTGGTTCTAAAGAGAAAGCAGCCGGACTGCAATTCCCAGAAGCCGCCGCAGGCCCTCAGCATCCGGGACACAGTCTGCAAGGATCCCTGGGCATTGTGGTCCGTTCCTTTGGCAGCAACCCTCTACCGACGGTAAAATTCCAGCCGAACCGGGGACCACAAGTCCCAGCAGCCCTTGCTGCTGTGCGGGGGGTCTTCACGTTCTCGTGGCGCGGCGCAGGCGCACTGGGTCCTCGGCGCGGACCGCGCAGACTGAATAATAAAAGGGGAGCGGCGAAGAGGCAGGAAGACAGGACCATGTCGAAGGGCCCCGGGCCCGGCGGCTCCGCAGCTTCCTCGGCGCCCCCGGCCGCTACCGCTCAGGTGCTGCAGGCACAGCCCGAGAAACCGCAGCACTACACGTACGTAGAGCCCCCCCCGCCGCGCGCGCACGCCTGACGTCAGCGGCCAGCGTGAGTCACGCGCGCAGGGAGAGCGCGAGGCGGCTTCTCCCTCCCCCCCCCTTTTTCCTCCGGCCCGGCCCAGACCGGTTCCAACCTGCTGGGGCCGGTCCCGACTGCTTTCAACTGCCACCAGTCTCTGGTCGGGTAGTGGGGCGGGAAACGCGGGCCCCGCCGCCGAATGGGGAAGGCAGGAGTGCGGTGGGCACACAGCCTAGGCCAGGGCTTCGAGGCCTAACTGCTCCTCAGATCATAAACCACAGTACCAGACACTTGTGGGGCGATAAGAAGTCCAAGACACGACCAGGATGAGTTCCTTAGGGGCCAGCCCTAGAACCACTTAGGAATGACGGTTAGCGTGAAGTCTAGTTAGTCCATCCCGGTACTGTGCCTAGGAGGCCTTTTGTGCCCCTAAGGCCTGTATGTTGTCCACAGAGGCCACTCTTGCTTAAGTCACCTAAACTATTGAACCAACCCGACTCGGGGACCCTGAGCATGATGGAGTCAGAGTCTGTCCTCAGGCCCAACTTAAATGTGGTATCAAGAGGGAGAACCCCAAATGCTGACACTACGAGAATCCATTAAGATGGAAAACCACTTCTTGGGGATCTGTTTGTGTTTAAGTGTCCCTGTCTTTTTTCTCTTTATTTCCTTTCAAGGCACATTAAGCAATTACCTAGTGCTAGGTGCTTTGGGAGAAAGACAGATGAAAAGAGGCGGGTCCTCCTGTTAAGAAAAATGTTGGTTTCCATCTTCCCTGATGCTCCTTGAGTGCCTCTCAGCCCCGTGGGCTCCTGAGTGATGTGCGCGTTTAGAGGGATCCCCAGGTGTACCTCAGGCTTGCTGGACATATGAAACCCGGGGGGTTGAAGAACTCTTTAAGAGCCACGAGCCACGCAGTACTGCTGTCTGGTGAACCAAGAGCAGGAAGCATCTGTTGGAGTAGAAAGAATTGAAAGTAGACGAGGAGGAGCTCTTTCTGCCCCTCACAGAAGTAAGACCCATTGGGAAACGGCTCTGCTCTGGGGTTGCGCAACATCAGTTTTAGGAATTGTATTGGTTTCTCTGTGAGATTCTCTGCTACTGGTTGAAACGATTTGACGCTTTTTCTTGACGACAGTCAGACTCACGTTAACTATAACTTTCCTAACGTGGCAGTTGCTTTGCTGGTCCTTTCTTATTGGAGTTCTTTCTGCAACCCTTCTGTTTTGGTGAGATGGTCTTACCTCAGAGGATACTGATCATCAGTTGAATGGTGCGGCCAAGCAACAGTATGGCCCTGACTTGGGAATCTGCAAACTTCATGTAATTAGAACGTCTTTGTAATCTCTGGTTGCTCGGGTGACGTTTTTCAGTAAAATACCTGTAACGTTTTGAGTAATCAGCAAACCTCTGTTTCTATCTTGTGTTGTCATTGAGTATACTAAGGAATCTATATCAGAAAGGCTCGCTGATCATTTTGGAAATGACAGATGAAAAGGCAACAGCTGTGTAAATGTTAGTATCTGAGTCTTTGTCCTCTTGATACTCATTTGTTGAAAATCTGTCTTTTCATTCCGTGAGGGGTAAGTGTAAAATAACCGGTCTTGGCTCTTGAGGTGGCTCACCTAAGTTTGATTGGGTAGTTGGAAGTTGTAGGTGTTCCCATTTCTTCGTTTTCTGTTATCTTTTCATTTGTGTGTGTGTTGTGTGTGTATTGATGTTAATATCTTCAAAAATCAGAGATAGAAATCAGTTGTCTTCCTTGGTAGTTTATGGATATTCAGAAGCTGTGATGATTTGGAAAACATATCATCCCAGGTCTGAGGAGCAGGGAGCATGAGGGCACAGATGATGGCACCAGTACACCTGTTGGCTCTGATTATTATTATTATTATTATTATTATTATTATTTTAAGGTGAACCCATTTGTTGCTTTTGGGAGTTAGGAGACAGGAGCATTTTTATGTTGATTTCAATATTTGCTATAAAATTTTGAGCTGCCCAGCATTTTTTCGTTCTCCCTTACAGCATGAATTTTCAGAATTTGTTCCAGTCTGAATGTTGCCTTATCTATTGTATTGATCCCACTGTTGAATACAGATATAGACCCCCTTTTTTTGAATATTTGTATTTTTTTACCTGTCAAGATTTTTTTTTTTTTAATTTTTTTTTGTTGGGGAATTGAGGGAGGGGAACAGCATTGGGGAATCGGGGAAGGGGAACAGACAAGTTGCTGTCCTTTTGTTCTTCAGTCTAATTGTGGAGGATGTTGCTTCACTGCCTATGTTGGTATTATCATTGCACTCTTCCCGGGAGAGGCAGTCAGTCACCAGCCATTGGACGGCTGCTCACAGCAGCTCACGAAAGCACATGCCGGCTGCCGGCCAGCCCCACTGCAGCCTATGCTGTTGCCGGCGACTCATGGCAGCCCAGCTCCAGGTCAAGTTTTGTTCACCATTTTAGCTGTGGAGGGCAGTGTCACTGGCCCTCATGTGGGATCCGAACCGGGGTCCTGCTGCTCAGAGCTGGCGTCCCAAGCAATTTTTTTTTTTTAAGATTTTATTGGGGCAATTTGGGGAGGTAACAGCATTGGGGAATGGGGAAGGGGGACAGACAAATTGCTGTCCTTTTGTTCTTCAGTCTAGTTGTGGAGGACATTGCTTCACTGGCCCATGTTGGTATTATCATTGTGCTCTTCCCAGGTGAGGCAGATTGGTCGCTGGCCATTGGACGGCCGCTCACGGTAGCTTACGGCAACCCACTGCAGCCCTGCTGCAGCCTACGCCGTTGTCGGCGACTCACGGCAGCCCAGCTCCAGGCCAAGCTGTTGTTCCCCATCTTAGCTGTAGAGGACGCAGTGTCACTGGCCCATGTGGGATCCGAACTGGCGGCGCTGCTGCTCAGAGCTCATGCTCCCAAGCCAACTCTTAACCAACGCGCCACTCGACTGGCCCGTCAAGATTTTTTACCTTTTAAGACTTTCTTATACATTAATTACATTAATTTTGTGTATTTTTTGTGTGTCTGATATTATTTGAGATTATGTGACATGCAGTAATCTTTGCAATAATCTGGAAGAAACTTGCGTAAAATTGTCCCACTCATAATGGCAGACAATCTTGGCAAACACAGTTGAATCTGCCAGAAGCAAAAATTGCCTTCCTGTTATATGCTTGCCTTCTTCCCTTTATTCTTGTCCCACAACTAAAGGCCTAGAGTTTGAGCCTTCCTTTTCCTAAACCAAGAGGATTATTCATAACAGTTTGAAGGATAATTATTTTGTGGGTTTGTTTTCTAATCTCCTGAATGATCTTGATTTAAGGGAAACTTGGAAATAATCCTTTCAGCAGGCACTTGTACTAGACCTGAGGAATCTGATCCTGAAAGCAGTTATCAGAATTTCCTCTGTTGAACAGCTCCAAGTATGTGATTAGCATTCTAAAATGACAATGTGCATGTATTTGTACTCTTCCAATACAAGAACCATGTGACCTCTTGCTAGGTAATTTGTCTTTTTATTTGACAAAGACTAAGTTTCATCCAGCTTTATTCAGAACAAGTCAATCTTATATACTAGGAGTGTTTTATAAAATAGATTTAAGAATGGGAAATTTTGGAGCAATTACATTCTGAAATACATCTACAAATTTAGCTAACTTTGGGCTTTTTGTTGTATAACAGTTATATCATTATTTTGACACTATAAGAACCTCAAAGACATTAAATCATTTTTGGATTCCTTCACCTGCAGTTTATTCTCAAAGTTCTTAATGCCCTTGTATTAAAGGAAAATGAAATCCTAGTTTATGAAGGTTTCTTGGAGTTTTCTGGCCACTGGGTGGTTTCTTATAGGTAGACAAAGGATAAATTTATAGTGTCATTTTAATTTAAGACTGTTTCCTGGGCATCTTTAAACAAGGGTAATGTAACAGTACTTCCATAGATAACTATTTTGAGGCAAATTTGTTAGTTTATACATAATAGAAATGTCATGAACTCCACTTGGTTGCATCTGATTGTGTTGTAGAAAATCCAGGAGATGAACATGTATTTTAATTATTATTGCAGCAAAATTGTAAATACACTAATAGAGTACAACTTGTTACACAACAGAAGTTACTGGAAGCGTTGCTTAGCAACTTTAGCAAGAATAAGTTAAGTTACCAATAAACATTTCTGGATTTTGTTTACTTGTTTATCAAGTAGAACTGATTTCTTGCAGGACCAAAATTAAGAGCTCCTTGTGGCCTTCAATCAAGCCCACAAAATCCCCATTAATAAGTGTTAAGTGCCCATGCTAAGGGTAGACTCAAGCTTAGTACCTAGTTGATATTTGCTATAATCTAAATTAATGATTAAAGTGAAGATTTGCTTAATGGTTAAGTTTTTTTGTTTTAATCCAGCTATGTTAGATACTAAAGAAGGCTTCCCCACAATCCATATGCATCTGCTTTGACTGGTGGTTTCTATCAACCTACAAAGACTGACTTATTGGTGAGGGCAGCTGGACAACTCTGAGATCAACTTAGAGAAATCCATCTTGGGCACACTCTATAAAGGAGCTCCTTCTCTGGAAATAGCACCCCAGATAAGTGCACAAAAGCAAGACACCCTCGTGGACCTACTTCCTCCCGCTTTCAACACCCTGATGCCTGAAGGTGAGGTCTCCTTCCTGTGTGTCTTAGAAGCCATGAGCTCACTTAGGTAATGAGAGCCCTACAACAGCCAGAGCACCACACATGTGCATGCAGGCTTTCCTGCCAGACCTTTGCCTAAAGGTTATTTTTCTCTTCAGGAGAGACCGTGGGTCAGAAGAGTGTTTTAAAAGTAAGGTAGCATTTATACCTGCATCACTTTAAATAGTGGACTGGTTTAGGATTATTTTCCCAAACGGGGCAATATTTACTTAATGATTAAGTTTCTTGTTTTGTTTTTTTTAATCCAGCTATACTTGATACTAAAGGAGGTTTTCGCACATGTGCATCTTCTGTATTTTGAAATTGCAACTATGGACAGTTATGGCTAATCCTAGTAGATTGTCTTCCCTTCTTTTAACATCTTGGATGAATTTGGGGCACACTAATGTGTTATGTGAAGATGGATGTTGAATGTAAGTTTTTCTGTCATTCTTAGCCAATGTATAAAAATTGCATTAGCCTAATTGCTAAAAATGCCAAGAGTTTGGGTTCAGTATCCTTCTGGGCAATGTGTAGCTTTCTTGTTTTCTTACTATGTAGATACTCTGTAGATTCACCCCAGCCAACCATCTTAAAATACCTGCCTGGGCAACAGAGATATCTATGGAGAAACTTTGGATAAAATCAGTGCATATGATAATTAGTATGGGGGATATTTATGGGGCGATGGAAATGTTCTGGAATTAGATAGTGATAATGGTTATACAACATGGTAAATATACTAAAAACACTGAAATGTATACTTTACAGTGGTGAATTTTTATATTGTGTAAATTACATCTCAATTTTTTAAGAAAAGGGTTGAAAAAAATCAGCGCATGAGTCTGTGCTACTAGAGGCCTTAGAGCACGTGGCCTATCAGGGCTTGGCAGCATCGTTCAATGTGGGAAAGCCTGCAGTTTGTGAAAAGCTCTTTGGCGCCCTTTCCCCAGCCTTCTCGGTGGCTTAGTCCCTGTGTATCCATTCTAGTGATGCCCCCATGTTGTAAGTCTCCAGAGATGCTTTTGAGATGAGTGAACACTCAGCAAGTTTGAGACTACTAGTTGTTGGTAGTTATACTTTAAGTTGTCTCTGAATTGACAGCCATTATAAGGAACAAGCATATTTTCCCCAATGCCGTTGTAAAATGAATTGTGTTTACTTCCTAGGGTGGGTGGGAAGTAGAAGAGAAGGTTGGTGTTCTGCTAAATGTAATAGACTCCATTCTTCAGGTATTGTAATGATTGTTTTAACGTTCACATGGGCATTTAAGGACAGGCCATGTGTTTTAGGCATTTAAGATTATGTTAGTAGCTATAATATTTTAGTTCAAATAATCACAACAGATTTTTTATTATTTCTCTGTAAAATCCCTCAACTTTCACCCCTTTTTTCTTTGCCAGTGTGTAGAATTTGACAGCAGTATCAAGAGCTGATGAGGAGGAGAAGATGGAAAGGAGTCTAGCAACTTAAAAAAATCTCATAGCGTTCTCTGTGAGGTGACCTTTTTCCTGTTGGTGGCTCAATTTATTTAGGAAATAAAGAAGATACTAAGGCCTGTAACAGTATCATCATGTCATATCTGAGCTTATTGAAATGTTTCCTCCCTTTCCTTATTTTTTATATCACAGTTTGCTTTTTGTGTTCTTAAGTAGACTCATTTGTTTCCTATTAATATGTGAAACTCCATATGGCCACCATAAGTCCTAATGAAATGACTTCTACTAAAGAGGCGGAAGGCTCATATTCCCACCCTCCTATGAAATTTTGGCTTATTCACAAAACTACCCCATTGAAGAGAGGTAGTTATGCTTAGAAAAGGAGAGGTTGGTAAAAACCTTTAGTATGGTATTTTATGACATAAAAGTTTTAATAGTAGTTTTTATATGTAAGCTTTTATTAATTTCGGTAAGAACATTATTATATCTTTTTGATGTCACGTTTACTGCTAAGAGGTGCCAGGCATTTTTAATGCCTGCCGCTTTAGGATCTGTGTAAATCAAACCTATCCAAACATAACAAATTAGAAACCCATACTTGTATTTTCTTTTTAAAGAAAAACTTGTGTTTAAAAAAAAAAACAAGGGCCGGCCGAGTGGCTCGATTAAGAGCTTGCTCAAGAGTGTGAGCTCTGAGCAACTAGCAGTTCGATTCCCGACTCTAGCTGAGCTGCCGCTGAGCTGCCAACAGGTGGCAGGATGGCTCAGCTAAAAAAAAAAAAAAAACAGCACAAATTTTACTATTGAACCAGGAGTGCTTTATAATAAATACATAAAATGAATATTAAATATCCAGTAGAGCATGTTAAAGTTAACATTGCTTTTTTAACTTTTACTAACTTATTTTATGGTATTGTAATTATGGCCTGTCAAAAACTCCCTGACACATTTTGAACAGCTTCCAGAGTCATTATTTGCTGCTACTTTTGTTTTCCCTTTAGCTCTCTTAAGAAAAGCATAGTTGACACTCAGCATGGTGTTTAAGAGCACTGACTCCAGAGCCAGGCTGTCTGGGTTTGAAGCCCAGCTCCACCACTTACTCGCTGTAGGACCGTGAGCAAGTGCCTTCCCTCTTTGTGTGTCAGTTTCCTGAGGATACGGATAGTACCTGTCCCAGGAGGTTGTTATGAGGATTAAGTGAGTTAATGTATATAAAGAGCTTAAAGCAGTGCCTGGGACTTAGCACAGGGTGAGTACTGTTCTTACCAGTGTTTGAACAAGGCCCAAGTTCCTGCTTTCAGTTGCATTGCTGCCTCCTTCAACAGCCGTAATCAGATGCCTTCTTTAGCTATATCCACACCACAGCAGATGCCTCGGTTCATAGGACACATGTGGGTCTGTGTTGTCTTCAGAGTGCACTCTTCTCCTCCTCGTCCATTTGAATTTTACTCCAGTCGCCATTCTTCGTGTAGCCTCCATCAGACTGCCTGTATCTTACGCGATGGAGTTGTGCTCTAAATGATCCACTCCTCCAGGGCCAATGACTTTGTTGTACAAAAAACAGTTACAAAATAACACAGCAATTTCAATGTAATACTAAAATGTTTCCTCAAATTGGAGGCCACCTGTGTACAGAAGAACTTTGACTCAAGTAAAGGCATTACCTAAATTAAGGAAGAATGAACCAAGGTTTTCAGTACTCCTCACATATTTTCCAAAATCATTGATGTAAGTGATGCTTCCATGAACTTTCTGTCCTCACTTTTACCAGTTCCAGGATCCTTAGGGCGAGGGGACAATTATAGAAGTAACCAGGGATACATAGGATTAGTTACGCACCAACACTCTACCATTCATGACTTTTGTTAGTTCTTGGGGCCAGGACAACTCAGAGGTGTCAGACCTTTCTCAGTGAAGAGTGGGCTAAAATCATTTGCTAGCGAGTGACTCCCCCACCTTAAAGCGATTGCTGACTTAAGTGCCTGTAGCACTTGTAATGTGGGTTCCTGTGTATCTGTGTGTTAACACATTGTTTGCGGGAAACGAGTAAACTCGTCGTATAGAGAAAAATGCCCGCTTACAAAGTGTTAAGATAGGATTGTTACTTAGTAGGTTATACTGGCCTTACTATGTCTGCTCTTTGGCTAAAAGCCAGATAGAGGATCAAGACCTGCCTTTTAAGGTTCAGACACACTCAGAAATTCACTAGATATTTGTTTTCCTTTTCTGCCAGAATTTTCTAAACCAGGACTTCAGAAGATTTGGAAGCCAAATCTCTATAGCTGTATATCACTTTATCAGAATTGTCCAAATGTTTGCCAACCACCAATTTCAGTTTTATTTGGCCTTGTTTTTTAAAAGTCATTGTTTGGGAACTCCCATTGATGTGGTTATTATTACAACGTATAGTTTCTGGGTTATGTTTGGTGTCAAAACAATATATATGTCCTTATAAACATTGAATTTAGAACTGCTAGTAGTTTACCTAAAGCTCTTCAAAAATGAGAAAAGATTTTTAGCCAATTGTAAGAAATACACGCGTGCTCGCGCGCGCGCACACACACACACACTTGGATAAGTTAATTTATATCCTTAATATACTGCTTATCTGCTCTTATAATCTCCTTGAAGTTAAAAACATATTTGATTCTCAAACTTAAAGTGAAGAGTCTTTGATAAGCCATAAAATATGAGCCCTGATTAAATTCCTTTTCAGGAGTTACGTGTGGGGAAGAAAAGTCTCCAGTAGGGTGAATGTGAAGATGGGAAACAGTAGATTACAGATAAGTGTCGTTGGAGCCTTTGGGTCCTACAACATAATCTTCAACAATGACTGGGTTTTGTTCTGTTTGTTTTTTTTGCTAGTTGCAGAATCCTATCACATTATAGTTAGTTTTCAATAAAGAATATTTAAGAACAGGACCACTTATTTTCATTTTAAGATTCTGTTTCCATGATAAAAATTGTATATTGCTGGAAAAATATGAAATTTAATTTTTATAAGATTAGTTGTAATAAAGATGAACGGTGGTTATTAGGGTTACGGGCACGCCTGTCACATTCTCTGCCAGATCTCTGCCCCCTTGCGTGAGACTGGTAAGCACTGGCCGCTGACTGGCCAGGAGAGCAGCAGGGGCCCCAGGACCGGGTTCCTCATGGCCCATGACCCCTAGGCTCTGGGGCATCCAGGGTGAGTTTCTTCTCTTGGCTCAGTCTGCCGCCCCCTTTTGGGGCTCACATATCGCTCCTCACTGCGTATGGGATTCGTCAAGTCCTGAGCAAGCCGGAGCTGTAGCACCCCCTCATCCTGTTGCTTCTCCAGAGGCCGTCGTTATCTTACCTGTTTGGCTTTTTGTTCACATCTGACCATGCTACATGTGTCCAATCCGATTTGACACATCATAAAGAGGAGGCCATTCGCGTCACAGAAAGATTCACCACAGTTCACTTTTAGGGAACTCCTCTTTCACTTAATTTCGTTCATACATACATCTTTCACTTAATTTGGAATCAGATAGTAGGTTCCCTGTCCAGTTGTGATGAATATAGTGGATTCCTTTCCTAACAATTTTTTTTAATTCTAAAAGTAGTCACAGTTACAGTAGAGTAGAGAAAAGCCAAGATAACCCCTAACATCAGTAATACTGGGTATATTTTTCCTTCTGCATATAGTTGACCAATTTGTAGTTCAGCTACATGTCTTTTTTTTTTCTTTGACTTAATGTGCCTTCAGTTTGTACCCAGCTTTTGCCAGATAGTTACTGTAATACTTCTTAGTTGGAGGAAACAAAAGAATACATCTCTAGTGATCTCCACACATTCTGAGCAACAGAGCAAGACGTCCCTCCAGTCAGCATGGAAGGCTGGAGATCTCAAATCGAGTGCTCTGGGTGAGGGACAAGGCTATGCAGGCATTGTGGGGAAGGCAGCTGGAGAAGTTACTGCTTTCTTAATTGCCAGGAAAAGCATCTTAGAGATTAGAGTTGCTTCTCTGTTTTTTGGGTTCAAGTGGACCAGGGTAGCACCACTTGGGATGCTTTATGCTTTTTCTTTTTCCTTCAAGACAGACATGTCTTGAACACCTGCTACGAGCCGGCTCTGTGCAGGGGAACAGAAATGAATAGACATTGCTACTTACAAAGCAGTTCAAGTCAACTGTGGTAGGGGCGTACCAGCTATATTCACGCAGTGCAGTGGAAATATGGAAAAGGGGGCACTTAGCACCACCAGGAAGGGTCAGCGAACCCCCATGCAGAGAAAAAGCCAGAAGGGTGATCCAGACACTGGGAGCAGCATCAAAAGTATGGAGGTGTGAGAGGAGGCTGTGGCCTGTTTGGGAATACAGCTTGTATGGCCCATGACCTAAGAATGGTTTTTACATTTTTAATTATTGAAAAAGAAGATTTCATGACACATGAAAGTTATATGAAATTCAAATTTCAGCGTCCATAAATAAAGCTTTATTGGAACCCATGCCCATTGATGTACATATTTCTATGGATGTTTTTTCACTGTAACTGTAGAGTTCAGTAGCTGTGACAGCACGTGGCTGTCATTGCTGTGCAGTGCTGTTCAATGTGCTACAAATTGCAGTGACAGTTCTAACGTGACAGTGTTTCTGCTGCTCTGTGTATCAGCATACCGTGAGGTTTTATTCTTTATTACCAATACCTACTTATGTCAGAGGAAGAGGAAAATGGATTTGGAGTGTCATGTTTGTAGGGCACAGTGGAGTGTGGATTATTTTGTTACCTAATTAGATGAAAAAGCTATCTTTAATTTTTTTTTAAAAAACTGCCAAAAGAACCCATCAACATTACCAGATTAAGCCGTGGTCACAATATTCCCAACTCATAAGAAGGCAATAGAAGAATTAGAAAAATACGGTTTTGTCAAAGCAGAATTTCTTCACAAAAATGAGGCTAGAACTGCAGTGAGCTTCTGAGTGGCTCATTTGTTAGCTGAGCAAGGAAAGCTGTTTACTGATATTGAATTAAATTTTGTTGATTGCAGCAGCTGAAGAAATGTGTCCAGAGAAAGCAGACTTGTTTAATAAGAGCGTTAGCCTTTTGGCAAGAACAATTTCTCCAAATGTTAAGGTCTTTGGGAGCAACATCAGTAGTCAATTAAAAAACAAAGCAA